TTGCACAGGAAAGTGTCCAGGTGGGTTTGAACATCTCCAGAGATGGAGACTCCACACCCTCTCTGGGCAGCCTGTCCCAGGGCTCCGGCACCCTCACAGCAAAGAAGTTTTTCCTCAAGTTTGTCTGGAACTTCTGGTGTCCCAGTTTGTGCCCATTGCCCCTTGTCCTGTCACTGGGCACCACCCAGAAGAGCCCGGCCCCATCCATTTGGCCCCCACATTTCAGATCTTGATAGACATTGATCAGATCCCCTCTCAGGCTGCTCTTCTCCAGGTGAACAGTCCCAGCTCTCTCAGCCTCTCCTCACACAGGAGATGCTCCAGGCCCTCATCATCTCTGTGGTCTCCACTCTGGACTCTCTCCAGAAGGTCCCTGTCCCTCTGGAACTGAGAAGCCCAGAACTGGATGCCCACTCCAGATGTGGCCACACCAAATCCCATAAAGATTCAGGAAAACATCACTTCTTCAACTGCTGGTACCACATAAGAGGATGAAACCCCACCCAGACGCCCTTGTACACCACGAGATGTACCCAGGGGGTGGGTCTGGATGTGGACAGAGACCATGGCCACTTCGTGGGGCAATGTCGAGTCTCCCTGGATGAGGGGAAGCCAGGAGGTTACGTACCGACCTCGGCCGGGGGCCGCTGGCTCTCAGCGGGGCTTTTTGCCAGCACAGCGACGGATTTGAGAGCGTGACAAGCGCTGACGACCTCCTGCATCTGAAGGAAACCTGCCACAGCCAGCACATCTTCCACGTTGTCGGGGTTTAGGCTCAGCTTAGCCGTGTACATGAACTCTAAAACCTGGCCCAAGCCTGTGAGGGGAGGAGATGCAACCAGAAAAAAGCTCTCACCTCTTGGCCACGCAATTTTGAAAAGCCCAAAAGCTCAGGAAATAACAAGCTGGAAAGTTTCCCTCAAACCCAGGGCACCAAACTGCTTTGCTTAAGCAGCTGGGAGGGAGATCAGAAAATCTTCTACCTACCTGCTGCGTTGCTGATGTCAAGGTGCACCACGTCCTTCTGGTCAACGAAAAGCATCCTGAAATACTCGCTGCAGGCTGCCAGCACGGCTTTGTGGGCTTTGAAATCGATGCCGTCCACCACGAAAGTGCAGTCGCAGAGTAAACCCAGCTGCCGCTGCTGGTTCAGCTGTTCCAGGACTTGTTTGCTGTGTTGGGGGAAATCCATGGCTGTGGGGAATAAAACAAAAGACAAACAACCTCAAGAAGGGGGTGAGATGGGTGTCAAAACCCTGATGCCATGTTGGAAAGGGTCATGAAGCAGGACAGATCACAAAGTCATGGATCAAACACAACTTGATCGCCCAGTTAATTAAAAACCGTGGCCCAAAAAGCCCAATTTCAGCTCCTCGCTACAGCCACCCGCCTCCCCCACCAAACACCACCCCAAAACTCCCCCTGCAAGATCCTCAGCGCCTGCGAGGAGCTGGAGAGAGAGGTGATTGAACACTCGATAGATTTTTTGACGTCCTAACAGCACTTAAAATACATTTATTGATCTTCATCCATCCCAAGCTGCAAGCAGGAACAGATCCTGTCCGAGGCGCGGCACGGAAAACCTTCATCAAAATCATCAAGATCCTGTTCATTTTAGGTGCTGGCATCATGATCCTGAGGGATTTTAATCTGTTTAATTGTGTGTTTGGAGGGAGTTCTCCCTGCAGGAAGCAGGAATTGGGCTGAGGAATGCTGCAAACTCCTGGAAACACCATCAAAATCTGTTTTTCAACAAGATTCTCATCGGTAAAGGTTGATGGGAACCGTGAGCTCAATCTGCTGCCACGTGTTGGGTTTTCACCTGCAGGGCGCAGGGCAGAGAGCAAAGGGTTTTCACTCAGCTTCGTTCTCCAAAATTTATTCCTCTGAAGAAGGAATTCTGGGCTGAAGGGATCATTTCATCAATGAGCAACGGAGGAGGAGAAAACAAACAGAGGATCATCCAGTTATTTGATCAACCTGCCAGGCCAGGAAGCCCCTAAAGGCACCGGGAGAGGCAGGATTATGACCAGGGAAAGTCTTGGTTTGATGCTGAGCCGACGCTCGGTGTCTCTCTGGAAGTTCCCAACCCATTGCAGTTGCTTTTCCACTTTACCAGCTTTTAAAAACAGCACGAGGAGCCTCAAGTCATGGAAAGGTGACAGGTTTGGATCCACAAAACCAAGTGGCTTCCAGGCAGCCATGAGCACGATCCATTCGAGCGCGCCCAAGCGCGCAGGAGGCGAGCACGGCGGGCAGAGGGAGCCTCCTCCTGTCTGCAGCGGGTGCTAGCAACGCACTTGGCGAAATATCTTCTGCCCAAGGATTGATTCAGCTTCCAAAATCATTCCTGGCAGGGATGAGAAGCCCAGACACCTCCAACAGCATCAGATCACAGAGAGAGAGAGAAAATTTCACTCCTAAAAGATGCTCTTTGTCTTTGCAATCAACTCATCGCCACGACTTTCCCCAGCTCCCCAAACCACGGGGATACTCTTGAACCAAACACCCACAGCCTGTCCCAAAATACATCCCTCAAGAGCCAGAAAAATCAGTATTTGTATCCAAATCAGTCTAAACCCCCACAAATGTACAACCCTGTGAGGTTTGCAAAGGAAGATCTGGGAAAAAAACAGGGAGGGTTTTCCCAGCAGGCTTTCCAGGCTCAGGAAGCTCCGCGCCGCGGGGCCGGAGAGATCACGGCGGTTTGATGCACCAACAGGCTATTTTCAGTAATTTATAGCAGACACTTTGCATCTGAATTATGATTTGTATCACTCCCCGATGGGACTCACCTCAGCTTCACACCCAAACCTGGCAAAGGAAATGAAATCTCAAGAAATTCAAATCCTCCTGAAAAATTTCATCTTTTCTCTGGTTTCCCCCATAACAACTTTAATGGAGCGTGTGAGCGCGGTTGCGACGAGCTGTGTGTCACCCTCACACCCAAAACCAGCACCCAACATCTCCCAGCAGCTGAGATCACCTCTGGACACTAAAATCCCTGACTCCAAACCTTAAAAAGCCCAAATATTTAGATCAAAAAACCCCATGGTGCAACCAAAACACCACCCTGGTTCCTTGTCACCGCTTGGGCAGAGCCAGTTTGTGGCTCTAATGCTGAGATTTGTCTCCATCCCTGACCAAAGGGGATGCACTGAAATGGGAATGGATCCAGGGATGGGATCCCTGGATCTGAGGACACGTGGCAGAGCTTCCTTGCTTGAAAACCAAAGGTTAGGCAGGATCAGTGCCTGAGCTCACCCCTGCGCGGCGAGGAGAGGAGATATCCGGAGGATCGAGGCTGCGGGTGAGATGGTTGAGGTTCTCCTCCGGAGTTTTCCCTCTTCCTGGTGCTCAAGTCAGTCTCTACGTGGCCATCCTGGGAGAAATGGGATGAAAAACTCTGTGTTAAAACCCAAACCTTGTGTGTTGAAGGCACCACGGTCTGATGTCACCAACTCAGGACAAAAACCTCCATTTTAAAACCCAAACTTTGTGTGTTGAAGGCACCACGGTCTGATGTCACCAACTCAGGACAAAAACCTCCATTTTAAAACCCAAACTTTGTGTGTTGAAGGCACCACGGTGTGATATCACCAACTCAGGACATAAACTCCATTTAAAAACCCAAACCTTACATGTCAAAGGCACCACACGGCCTGATGTCACCAACCCAGGATGAAAAACTCCATTTTAAAACCCAAATCTTACGTGTTGAAGGCACCACATGGCCTGATGTCACCAAACCAGGACGAAAAACTTGATGTTAAACCCCAAACCTTGTGTGTCGAAGGCACCACGGCCTGATGTCACCAACTCAGGACAAAAACCTCCATTTTAAAACCCAAACTTTGTGCGTTGAAGGCACCACGGTCTGATGTCACCAACTCAGGACAAAAACCTCCATTTTAAAACCCAAACTTTGTGCGTTGAAGGCACCACGGTCTGATGTCACCAACTCAGGACAAAAACCTCCATTTTAAAACCCAAACTTTGTGCGTTGAAGGCACCACGGTCTGATGTCACCAACTCAGGACAAAAACCTCCATTTTAAAACCCAAACTTTGTGCGTTGAAGGCACCACGGTCTGATGTCACCAACTCAGGACAAAAACCTCCATTTTAAAACCCAAACTTTGTGCGTTGAAGGCACCACGGTCTGATGTCACCAACTCAGGACAAAAACCTCCATTTTAAAACCCAAACCTTACGTGTTGAAGGCACCACACGGTGTGATGTCACCAACCCAGGATGAAAAACTCAATTTTAAAACCCAAATCTTACCTGTCAAAGGCACCACAGTCTGATGTCATCAACCCAAGATGAAAAACTCCATTTCAAAACCCAAACTTTGTGTGTCGAAGGCACCACGGTGTGATATCACCAACCCAAGACGAAAAACTCCATTTTAAAACCCAAACCTTACGTGTTGAAGGCACCACACGGTGTGATGTCACCAACCCAGGATGAAAAACTCCATGTTAAACCCCAAACTTTATGTGTTGAAGGCACCACGATCTGATATCACCAACCCAGGACTGGGCACCCCCCAATTCCACCTTGTCAGAGGCACACAAGCACCGTTTCCTCTCCTGACCTCTCCCCAATGTGGCTGTTGAGTTTCTCATGACCCAATTAATTATGGAAAAGCTTCGTTATGAGAACACCCACGCCCACTGCACGTGCTGGCAGAGACAAACACGGCAGGGCCAGCCCCGGGGAGCTGCCCACACCGGCTCCGTTAAGCTCTCTTGCTTATTACCAACATTAACCTTTCCCTGTACCTGTCACTTCAGTGTCTACCTATTAAAAAAAAAAAACCCAAATCTTGATAAATTGGAAAAAAAAATTAGTGGTTTAAACCATCCAACCATCATTTTTATGCTGGGAAGATAAAAAGGAAGAGGGGGGTTTATTTTTCTGCCTACCGTCATCTCCCTTCTCGTGTGTCAGCTCGGGGAACAAAGCAGCTCTAATCCCTTCAGTCTCTGCGAAGAGGAGTCTGTCCTCATTTCCAGTAACTGATTCTGCAATGTTTAGAGATCAAAAAAAATAGGAAGTTAAGAGTTGATTAAAGAACATGTGTGTTATTAATACAAATTATTGTGTTAAGTGGGTTTTAGTACCAGTTTTATCCACGGATCTGGAGGTTAACGTGTGTTTTAGGCTTGTGACGGAGGAGGAGTTTAAACTGAGCTGCCTCTTGAGATGATTTACGGCTTTTTAACAATTGTTTTCAGGTTAAAAATTTAAAAAAACCCCAAAAAACCCAAACAAAATGTTCCTGGAGAAGTAAATGAAAGAGAGAAGAGCTCTGGAGTTTGTGGTCGGGCGTGAAAGCGGAAGGCGAGTCAGCATCCAGCTGGAAAGGGGGGGAAATAATCACGAGCGATGACAGGCAGGGCAAAAAAGGGGGGAAAAGGAACTAAAAGGAGAAAGAATTGAGGAGAGAGATGAGCAGAGACACTCTGGACACCCCCCCAGCAAACAGACACCCCGCAAACCCCGCAGTGATTCAGGTTTTGGGTCCGGGGGATACTCCTGTGCGGCTTCTGGCGCAAAGGGAAGCGGCTGCGCCCGCAGAGCTGCTGAGACGTCACCAGATCTCCAGCTCTGCCCCTTCCTGCAGCGCCTGGGTGAGGAGCTGCATCCACCTTCTTGCCAAAACTGCTGTTTTCTTGCAAAAAAAAAAAACCACCCCCAAAACATCTGCCCGATGGCTGAAATTCCAGCAGAAGCTTCTGATGTAGAAACACAATAAAGAACACGCGGCTTGTCCATGAAATGTGTCACCTGTGGCCAAAGAGTGACACCCACAGAGAGCACGGGCTGTCACCGTGCCAAAAAAAGATGCCAGAAGATGAAAAACTCCCTCTTTTTTCCTCGAGTTGCTGCACGAAGCCTTGAAGGTTTCTCTGCTCTTCTGCCAGCGACGCCCTTGACACGCAGATGACACCTCGTGCGGCGTCTGTCAGGGGACTCTCGTGGTGTCTGTCAGGGGACGTGTCTTGCGCAGCGTTGTCTGTCAGGCTCGTGTCCCCTGCTGATGTCCTACGTGTCCCGAGGGGACAGTCGCTGCCCCACGCGTGGGGAGGGGGGACACAGGGCTTCACTCCTTGCCTTGCCCCCCATCACCCCACAGCTCCATGGGGGGACACATGTCCCATGGTAGATG